CTCAAATGCAAATTACACATATATAAACCTCATACTTAGATTGTTATTCTCTTAGCAAGGCTTTCCTGAGACTGAAGACTGATGCCACACAAAACACCACCAATTCCAGCTAAACTAGAAGGTACTTTTTGCAGCAAAATTGAGTATAATACCTCTTTGTTCCTCTCATCTCCCGATGCACACTTCCCTTACTTGCCCTTATTCCTTCAAAGGAATAATCCATTCTCTCTCACACAGAGAATTTTCTCAGCCATCTAATTTCCTTTTGTTGAGGTTTTTCTCTCATTCCAGAGTCACTTTGATTGCGACAGAGCTCTACTTAATGCAGATATGAAAATTTTCTTTGTAATGCAAGGCAAAACCTTTGCGGAAAGCAGTCATCTTTTCTTTAGACAATTAAGACCAATTACTGAATATCTGAACATGCTGCACACAGCCTTACAGCCAGACATCCTCTTCAAATGACCTCTTAAACGGATGACACATGCTTGTTGTTTGATGAAGGTGTAACTTTGATCACCTCAGTCAATTATTTAATGAAATGAGTAAGTCTTCCAAAATCTTTCCAAATTAGTGCCAGAAATTTTCCTTTTCATTTTTAATACACCTCCTAAACAGTATGGGGTAGGAACTTGTACCATTAGTAGTCTCCTCTAAAATGCCAGGAGAAAGTGTAGTCTTGTGTTGTTGTCTTTCTCTCCTGGATTTGCAGGTGGCCTACAATCTGCTCCACTAGTGAGCAGGAAAATAGGGTCTGGTTGAATAGCTACTAGCTAATACAATCATTCAAACCAGAATGGAGTGAAAACAGTTTTGACTTTTACATCGATTTAAATAAAGAGTTCAAGCATAACAGACGATGATCACATGGTCAGCACTGTAAATCGGGGGGCAAAAAGGGAATTAGACATGTCAGTGAAGTTGTTTGAAAGACTCTACAAGGCAGCCATCACCTCAGAGTCCTTTGAGACAAACTGGTACTGGTTTTTAAGAAGAAAACTGCCTGCTGCAGTAAAGTCTTCACTCCAACTTCAGACGCTTTTACTCTGTATTCTGAACTCCTCAGAATGACCACAGCCCGTCCGTCATCGCCTGCTCAGAGTCTTCACCTCTCCTCCTCCAGCTCCACCAGAGGGAGAGCCTAAACCAACCAACCCCAAATCCTGCCAGCACCACAAGAGCTGAGGATGGCAACTGCAAGCAAAGATCAACCACATTTTTCAAATATATGCAAGAGAAGGAGACTATTTTTTATTTATTTTTTTTTAAAAAAAAGCCTAAGAGAGCGATAACTAACAGCTGACTTGCAAACCAAAAAGATGTCCGCAAAATAATCTTTAATATTCCTCAGAAGTAGTTTAGATTTCTGTGAGCCCTTGCATGAAGTTTAAAATTAATCTACAGCTTTATGAATTTCTGAACAGCATGCTCAGCTAACATTAAAACTGCTTTCCTTTTATGAATAAAATACAACTTAAAATAACCAAGCTAATAAAAGAAATTGCCAATATGAGAAAACACAGCAGAAAATAAGGATACTGCAAGAATCAAGCTTTAATTGTAAGCAGTTCTAGAGTAAAAGGGAAGTTAGCTATATAGGATTTATTTATTTTACTTGAGTTGGAGATTCTATATGCTGTTTCAGATATACTAGGAAACACAGCAATTTACATAACTTTTAGAGACAAGTTGTCCTCTTCAGGTACAGATTTTTGAAGCATTATCGTCAGAATACAAGCTAGGACTGCCTATGTTAGAAATTTTTAAAAGGCTAGCAGATAAATTAGAAGAAACAAAACTATCAATGTGTAATGTATCGCTCTTCACATGTCAGTACAAATTCCTTTTGTAACATACAAGCCTCAATACCTTTTCAAAAAAGGCTAATTTGTTTATAAAAAGAGGGGGTGCAGTGGTAATCCATTTCCTACAACGAAGAGCCAATATTAGAGTCTCAGAGCCAGTGACAAGTCTAAGTAAATATTCAGCTATGTCAGAGACGCTGGAGCGGGGGGGGGGGGAATTAACACCAATGTTTTATTTTTAGT